GTGCTCTTGATGGATCGATTTCCTTGAGATTCTCCACGCAACTTCTCAGAAATGAAGTGGGGAGTTATGCATTGCCGAGGCTATCTACTTTGCATCTATCAGAGCCCGTGGTTTTTAGAGAGAAATAGTCTTCACTTTTGAGACGCAAAATATGAATGGCATTCTGTCACTGTGGGGGCGTTGTTAGTATACAATGGATTGGAAAACTTAACTTAACAAACTCTACTTTACTTTCACCGAAAATTTAACTTATAGATATAAGTAGAATATGGGATTTAAACAAAAGCAACAACAGTTAATTGCATATGATTTGAAAAATGGTTTTAAAAAGTAGAATGAATCAGAATACGAACGGAATTCGCCAAGTATGCTACAGCATTAATAGCGAATCATTTGTAAAGAAGCCTCATAACAATGCTATTGCATGAAAGTGAACGAAATGCAAAGGAACACTGATTCTACTTTCTTATGGAATAAGTCCCTGGAATCTTCACAGTCTCAAGAAAAGGAAAATAATAAATCTATGTATGAAAATTATTATCTATTTTCTTTTCAAAAATATATTAAAAAAAGAAACATTAAAGCGGAGGATCAGACTTTGTACCATATGTTACAGTGTAAACGTAAGCTTTTTCGTGACTATAACTAACAAACAAACAAAAGAAGGTTGCATGTGAAAGGAAGTATTATCAACAATCAAAATATTGCCAGTTGGATTAATAACATCGCTAAGATAACTCTTTTTTATTATCAGTAACATCAATACTGTCATTATAATTGTTGTTGATGTTGCTGCCATTATCATGATTGGTATTATTATTATTATTATTATTATTATTATTATTATTATTATTATTATTATTATTATTATGATAATCATAATCATTACTATTATTCTTTATTACTATCATTATCACCATTATCATTATTATTATAATTATCACCATGATTGTTATTAATGATATTATTGTTATAATAGTTGTTTTTTGTTATTGTTATTATTACTATTATTATTATAATTGTTATCATCATTATTATTGTTATTATTATTACGGTTGTTTTTATTATTATTATTATCATTATCGATATCATTATTATTATTATTATTATTATTATTATTATTATTATTATTATTATTATTATTATTATTATTATTATTATTATTATTATTATTATTATTATTATTATTATTATTACATTATTCATTATTATTATTATTATTATCATTACTATCATTGTTATGATAATTACTAACAATATCATGACCATGATTAAGATGATTTTCATTAATCTTACTATTATTGTTTTTATTGTTGTTATCACTATTATCATATTCAAGGTTATTGATAATATTATCGTTATTATCACGATTATTATTATTATGATGATGATGATGATGGAATGAGAATGAGGATGATTATTGTTATTATTATTATTGTTATTATTTCTATTATTATTACTGTTATTATCATTACTGTTATCATTGTTACTATTATTATTACTATTATTATCATTATTGTTATTATTATCATTATTATCATCAACATTACTACTACTGCTGCTGCTACTCCCACAATTATTGTTGTTACTATTGTTATAGTTATTATTCGTGATATCATTATCATCATCATTATTGTTATCATTATTATTACTATCATTATCATTATTGATATTATTATCATTATTGTTAGTGATATTATTATTATTATTGTTACTACTATTACTATTATCATCCTTATTACTATTATCATTATTATTTTTTATTATTATCATCATTATCATTTTTTATATTATGATAATATAATGATAATGATAATTATATTAATAATTTTGATAATAATGATAATGATAATCATTATCATAATCATTTTTAATCATCATCATTTGATCATATTATATACATTATCATCATCATCATTATTATTAGCATTGTATTTATAATTACTATCATTATCATTATTATTATCCTTAATTCTTTTATTGTAATCATAATTAGCATCATCATTTTCATAACCATTAGTGTTACTATTATTATTATCATTATCATTATTATTATAATTATTTTCATTACTATTATCACTATCATTACTATTGTTATCATTTTTCATTTATCATTATCATTATTATTAATATTATCATTATTATTATTATTATTATTATTTAATTAGTATCATTATTATTTTTATTACCAATGTTATTGTTACTGTAATTATCATTTTTATTATCAATATTATGATCGGAATGATAATTATTGTTGTTATTATTATTCCTATATCATCATTAACATTATTGTTGTTATCGTATTTACTGTTCTCATTATCATTATCATTATTGATAATGATTATTGTTATCAATAATGTCAATATTGTTATTATGATTATTGTTATTAATAATATCAATATTGTTATTATTATGATTATCACGATTATCATTATTAATCGTATTATCATTATCTTCACAATTATTGTCATTATATATATTGTATGGTTATTACTATCCTTATTATCATTATCATTTTCATCATCATAATAATCCTTATTATGATTATTACTCTTGTTTTGTTATTATCGTTATTGTTATTGTTATCATTATCTTCATTATCATTATTATCAGCATTATTATTATCATCATCATTATTATGATTATTCAAGACATTACTTTCATTGATATTATTATTGTTTTCATCAATATTACCATCATCGTCATCGTTATAATTATGATTATTGTAACTGATATCATTATCATTATTAGCTTGATAATAATAATAACAATAATAATGATAATGTTAATATTTGCATTATTATTTTTCTTGTTTTTATTATCATTGTTTCATTATTTTACATTTTTCTATTATCATTATTATTGTATTTTTTATGATTATTATCATTCATCATTATTGATCATATTTATATCATCATTGTCATTTTTTATCATTATCTTATCACAATTTTTGTTAATCATCTACTCATCAGTATCATTCTGATTATTATTTTCATTGTTATTGCTATCTTCATTGATGTTATTATCATTATCATTTTTGTACTATTTTTTCTTCATATTGTTGTTATATATTCATTTACCATATTTATATTAGTTTTATTATTGTTATTGTTGTAATAATGATAATATAAGCATAAATACTGATGATAATAATAACAATAATAGCTATAATAATAATGATAATAATAATGGTAGATATATTAAGAATGGCAATAATAAGAATGATAATAATGATAAAATTTGTCATTATTTTCATTATTACTATTGTTGGTATATTGTTACGATCATCCTTTTGATAGTAACTTGAAGGTAATGCTTGTTAACATCCCTCCCAGTATCACTGCTGTACCATTACCGTTAATGTTAAATCTTTCCATTAACTTTCTTATTTTCATTTCCATTACTGTTACGTTATCGATGTTATTATTACTGCTTTTATTTTGTTTGTTTCCTGGCAATTTTATTCTTATCGTTATCATCATGAAATTATTGCAAAGGTATTGAGATCACTTACCAGTATCGTTAATATTATCCTCAGTATACTTATCACCATAACTATTGATGGAGTTATCAATGTTATAGTGCTATTTCTGCCATTACTATAAGTGTGATGATGAGCAGTGTTATACTTATCAATCCCATTGTAATTATTTTTTGTCAACATTATTAGTAAGATGACAGCTATACTTTGTTGTTCTAATCATTATTGCTTTTGTTATCAAATTCTGTATGGAAAAGCGCTCTCCATTAAGAGAGAAAATAAAAGATAAAATAAAAATAGTTTTCTTATCGCTTCTCTCTTCATTTTCTCATGAATCTACTCACTCCCAACCGAAAGGCATTTAATCTACTCATTTCTGTGGTGGTATGTGAAGGTTCCCTCCCTAAAAAGGTAATGGAAATAACACAAAAAACGTTCGAACAAACAAACAGGAAACACAGACAGCCATTAGGGGATTCTGAAACAAAAAGAAAAAAATAAAATAAAATCAAACAAGGCAAAACTAATGAAGGGGAGATATCTCGGCAATGTTTATGTTCTGTAGACTTTATTCCTGTGATGTTTATTTCAGAAGATTTATGAAGTCATCATGCTTAAGCGTGTAGTTTAGGTTATTTTATGGCTAGTTGTAGGCTGTCAATAGGTTGTCATGTGCGGGATATGAGACACTTATCTGGAGATACTGTCAGTTTGTTGGGGCAAGGGGAGGGTGATACGTGTGTGTGTGTGTGTATGTGTGTGTGTCGGTGTGTGTCGGTGTGTGTGTGGTGAAAATAACTACCGATGAATAAGAAAGAGTTTGATTAGAAAGTTTTGTAGATGAAATGAAAAAAATGAAAGATAAATAGAATGTTCTTGATTCTTATCATAAAGATAATTTTGTAATAATACGGATTATGACCTCTTCCCATCTGAATATGTGCATGTGTGTGTGAGCGTGTTTATGGGCGTGCATGTGTGAATACGAATACATATATATATATATATATATATATATATATATATATTATATATATATATATATATATATATATATATTATATATATATATATATATATATATATATATATATATATATATATATATATATATATATATATATATATATATATATATATATATATATATATATATATATATATATATATATATATATATATATATATACTATATATATATATATTATAATATATAATAATATATAATATATATATATATATATATATATATATATATATATATATATATATATATATATATATATATATTATATATATATATATATATACATATATATATATATATATATATATATATATATATATGTATATGTATGTATTATATATATATATATATATATATATATATACACATATATATATATATATATATATATATATATATTATATATATATATATATATATGCATATATATATATATATATATATATATATATATATATATATATATTATATAAAGACACACATAAGTAAATA